AGAATTTATTATAAAAAATTCATATAAAAAGTTGATCATAATTTTTGTGCGTGCGAAGTGTGCCAATGAATTCTGTCCGCTTTTTGATAAAATTCAGCTTTATTTGAAATATACTTGTGGCAAAGTTTTATAATCTACGGTCTGACATGTTCCCAGGCCATCGAGACGGACGGACGGATGTGAATTTAAATCATTTCCAAAATAAAAATTCTTTGCCCGAAATCTCGCGAAACACTTTCGGACGATTTGCTAGCTTACGGCATTTGCACTTCAAGCTAACTTAATTATTCTCGTAGCCTCGGCTGCATTTTTTCCAACACATACACACATTTCTTTATAAAATTAATTTTAAAAAAATTTTCTTAATCTATTCGGTTTCTTCTCCCATTATTATTATTGCTATTAATATTATTATTAGTTACTATTACTACAATTAATTATTAATATTATTTGCTTATATAAGTAGACTGACTGTATTTGAAGTAAGCAATTACTTGTTTTTTTTTTTTTTTTTTTGGGAAAACAAGGTTGTTCTTTGAAAATTTAGTCCATTAGATAGTTCCAATTAAGTCAACATTTTTACATATCAATATACACGTATATATATATATATATGCATGGATGCGTGTACGTGTCTTTTTTACTTTACTCTTTCGCTTTATATGTTTAATGTTAATTTAAGATTAATGCATATATGGTGCGATACACAACAAGTGTTGTGCTAAACCATATAAAGAAGTGTGGGTATGAGTTGGTAAAGATATCATACTCTGTGCACTGTCATCGGTTTAATACAATTTGCATATCCTCGGTATACTCGCTGGTTGTTTCGCATTTTTATAACGTGCAAATATTTTACAAATAAAACCTGGAAAGAACACAAGAAAGAATCGCGCACTCGAACTTGTGGACGATCTATGTTTACGGGATGCGCAAGCATATATCTGTACGTGTTACTACTTCAAGCTTAAACCTTTCGGTTTTCTCTCTCTCCCTCTTTCTTTCTCTCTATCTGTCTCTATCTATCTGTCTCTTTCGCCATCTCTCTTTTTCACTCTCTTTAGGTAAATGTAGTTGTGTGGTTATGTGGTTTTCCTATGGCTATATGCAACACGGTGCCTTTGTTTGTATTACTTTCGCTAGATGGTCTCTCTCGTTCCATACAGGATTGTTTCTTTCCCGGTTTTCTTGCTCTTTATAATTTTCATAATAAAATAAATTCTTTATTTATTTTAATATATTTAAATGCATACACATATATACACATATTCACAAATACACACACACACACACACACACACACACATATTTGTATATATATAAACCTACAACAGCTTTCTATTTATGCTTATAAAATCTACATACATGTATATATGGTTGTAGCAAGTATTCTAGTATTCTTCACCACTTCAACCCTATACTCGTTTATGTATAGAAGTTGTGTACATTGTATGTGCACACATTTATATGTACGATGTTGTTTTTATTTATGCATGTTCTTGCATGTGTACGTGTGTTCAACTTCCATAAGTTTAACTTTTATTTCATTTTATGCCTTTGCTTATAAATGTATGAATGCACACACACACACACATACACAGAAGTTTGTACATGTGGATTTTTATTCCTTTATTTTTATTTTTATGTTGTGCGGTTTTTGGTGTCATTTCACTTTAGTGTACGACTGAACGTTCTTATTGAGCATTTACATGAATAATAAATTCGCAAGAAAAAAACAAAAAAAAATTGAAAAAGAAAAAGAATACTGCTTTACAAAAAAAGATAAACTCGTGTAGAGATGCACTCCTGCTTGTTTTTTTTCCTTAACAACACTTCAACCAAAATCTATCGGCGAGCGGGTGAATGCATGCATGCATGCATCCATGTATTAACACAAATACATATACACAAACGGAATGAATGTATGTTTCATTAAACTATTAAGAGTACTGTAAAAGATAGTTGGAAATTGGGAGGTCTTGCGGTTATAGCTATAAATTTAAAATTGATTTAATGTATTTACAATAAAAAAATTTATTTTCAAGTATATATATATATATATATATATGTATATATTTTATATTTGACAGTTAGACTTGAGCATTATTGAATGAATCTTCAAGGAATTATTAAATTTATTTTAATATATATATATATATATATATATATATATTTTTTTTTTTTTTTTTTTTTTTTTTTGAAACAGTCTAAATATAAATGTAAATATAAATATGAATATATTGTTGTTGTTATTATTATAATTAATTTACCCAGGGAAATAAATTCTAAGACTTCAAACTGTTAAAGCACAAGCATCTAAAGGCTATCGGCTTTATTGAAAGCTCTACCGCACTTGAGATTTCAATTCACTTGACAATTGCGTTGTTTATCGAGGCCGTCTGTCTACTCGGCCACTCAGGCGGATAAAAAAATGAATATTATAGTAAGCTTTCTAAACTTTATGCATGAACCCTTTTGAAGTATTTATTATCAGATCGAGTTTTAGATCGAATCTTTAGATAAGCGGTATCAAGTGATTTTTATTATTTAGAAACTTAGAAAAGCTTAAGAGCTCTTGTAAATACCTAAAAGAAGCGTGTTAATGGAAGGATTTATAAAATAAAAAAAAATAAAAAAATTTAATATTAGAAATTATAAAGTCAACATCGCAATCATTCGCGCGAAGCATCTTGAATGTTGAAGTTGTTCTTTGCGGGAAGCAAATGTAGCTAGGACGAGCTTAAGCCAAAAAAGAAAGTCACTTAATCAACATATCTCTTAGCTAATGAGCCACAGTATAAAAGGTCTTAGTTAAAGGGGGCAACGCTACTTGCTACCTTATACGGATACGGATGAAATCAATGGAATTATCGGTTCTATACATTTTTAAAATATGGTTCAAATTCGAAATCAGACTTTAGAGAACTGCAAGTGCGGCTGCAACACGGTGAACCTCAGACAAAACCACAATTTTGGGGGAAAGTGCAATCTAAGGTTTCAAGAGGCAATAAATTCATTCCGAAAATCGGCATTTATTTATTTATTTATAGTAATTAATTTAAGTCAATAAATAACCTCTGAGAAGTATTAACTTTATAATAATGTTTGTTGTGTTATCGGTACAAATACTTGTCCGGTACTTATTGCTGAACTTTTTTTACATATATAAAGTTTTTGAAAGTGCTGTCTTCACTTTCACAAGTTCCCCATTGACTCTGCCATAGTCGCGATTTTTGATTACAACACGGAGAGAAAAGACAAGAGTCAGACAACGATCATGTTACCTGAATATTTGATGACTTTACTCGACAGTGTTTTATTGTGATAGTTCGTTCACGATCGACTTCAAGCCGGACAATAAGTCTATCAGTTTTCGGGCTTCACACAATCTATTCGCCTAGGTTTTTCATTCTTAGGCAGAAACTGCATTCTTCGACTTATTAATATTTTTTTTTATTAAAACAGTAGAACCGAGATATGATTACAAAGAAAAAGCAGACTTTGCTGTTCGCACGATCGTTCGACTTGTTGGAATGCTATCGACAATGCTATCGGAATAGGGTATAAATTTTATCTATACGTCGTACATCTTAATAACAAAGAACAGACGAGAATTACGTATGCTATTAAGACTAAAATTAGAAGAAATATGAGAGACTGAATCGTGAATAATATTAGTTGTTATTCATATATTTAAATTTGCGTATGCAGGGGCTAAGCTTATTTTTCGCGTACTTACTGCAAGGGCTAATGCAATACTTAATTAAGAGATTTTTGGATTAGATATCAAATATTTTGCATTAATTGATTTTCTTATTAATGCACATCATGCTTACAGCGTAAAAATAAAACAAAGTTCACATGATTGCTTTGATTAAAAACGTATGTTGAAATGTATGTAATTTTCATTTTATCTATTTATTGTAACTGTGAATTAATCAAGATCTCAAGCCGTTTTATATGCATGAAAAACGAATAAATTTGCTTTAAAGAAAACTACAAATGAAAAGAAAGAGAAAAGTAGTAAACACTTATTCGCAAATACAAGCGAATTTTACTTACACACTACCTCACCACCTAAGGGTAAGGCTAATAGATGTTAATAGATATAATTCTGTTTTATTACTACGCGAAATATGCTAAATACATGCAAGTGACTCTGTGAAAGAAAAAAATTATTTCACTCTGCTGCTATGACATGATATGACATAATCTGATGAAAATCATTCGATTTTTCATCAAATGCATGCAAACTAATCGGGTGCCGCGTCAATTTTGCAGCCATTTAGCTAGGATTGACTTAAGATTCGATTTCGATTGAAAGGTTTTTCGCTACTTTTTTTCTTTTTTTTTTTTTTTTTTTTTTGAACATCAAAGATTTTTTTTATATTTGATAATTAAACTCAATTTGCTTACATATGTATGTATGTGTGTATATATTTCTGCTTATCGAAATATTTCAATTTTGTCGTGACGATAAAAAGGCGAATAGGCGAATAGTTTGATCCTTCGGTGGTGTGGCGATATAAAATGATATGCATTTTGACTGTAATTCTTAAATAAGGCACGAAAAGATGTTAACCCTAATTCCTGCGAGTTTGCATGATTTCTTCAAATGCAACTAATTTTTATTTTTTGTACAATGAAAAATTAATATTCATTATTAATATTTATATATACATATCGTATATATATGTATATTTTTATTTTTGTTAAACCAAACTTTTTTTGAAAAATGAATTTTATTAAAATTTTTTATCTATTTTTTATATTTTCTTCCTTCCATTTTATCTTTTCAACTATCTCAAACACGTGATGTATGTATGTACGTATGCTCTGGAATTCAATCTCAACAACAAACTTGAAATATCATCATAATTGTTGCAATCAAACTTGGACTACCCTTCGGGACATACATGTATATATATATATATATATATATATATATATATATATGAATTAATATGAATATGAATGAATTTATTTCATGGGGCGGGCAGTCTGTGTGCCCTGGCCAGACGGTAAGTTTTATACGTTTTCTTTATTAATAATTAATATCGAATCTCTTGTGTCTTGTATTCTCGTTGTGTGTTATTTTATGTGCTCTTCTCTTAAATTAAGTTTTTATGTTTCATTTAATCTTTCTTTTAAATATGTATTAACAACTTTTTGACACGTATGTATAGGTATTAATAATATTACGTATTTATTGATTTATTATTTATTTTACATATAATGAAAAAAATCGACACTCGTTAAATGTTTACACAAACAAATTTGTGTCAAATTAAGATGTGAAGTAGAAGAAAAGTTTTGTCATTTTTTTATTATTAAATTATTTATGTTTATGTAATTTGACATAACAATGAAATAAATCTATTTTCTTTAACTAAAACATTTAAAATTTCAATAGACAATTCTCAATTAGAGAAGTTTAAAAAAAAAAAAAAAAAAAAAAAAAAGTTTAATATTAATAATAAATGCTTCGTTAAGAGAAGAAATTTGAATAAAAGAAAAAGATTTTGTTAAGAAAAAATTATTTAACTAACATAAGGCTTTTTCCTACTTTTATTTTCTCTTCTTCTATTATTCTTGCTTCAGCCAACCGTCTTTTTAATTAAACCCTTTGTTTTTTTTCCTTTTTTCTGTGTAATTTCTTTATAAATTCTCTTTATTTAATAATTCAATGCGTATGGTATATTTAAAAGTACATTTTAATAATATATATCTTATATATATATAATCTTTTATATATATGAATATATAGCATATAAAACAGTTTGTAAGGTGCTTATGCAAACAAATTTTATGGCAATTTCAATTTACTTAAATGATTTTTACCAAAAAGTAACGTATGCAAGTGATGTTGTGTACATTATAGAGAGATTTGAGTTAAGCCAAATATTACAAATTTATTTATCATTGATTTATTTTTTATCATAACTAAAGCTTAATTCTAATTTATATTTATTACCACATATATATATATATATATATATAAGTATATATATTCATGAGTATATTTTGTTAAAAGTCTTCTTTTGGAATTATTCCAATACACGATGATCAGAATTTCAGTGAATTAAGGGAAATGTATTCCGTTTGGTTCGCTATTTCTATGATACGATACGATTTGAAAAACAAAAATTTCCTACCGAAATATATAAATATTTCCTTTGCGGACGGACTATGTTCGTCCCGGCTTTTCCCTTACTATTTTTAACTCCTCTCCAAGTCAAGCTGAAGCTTAGGCCAATTTTGACTGCATGAAGAGTACATGTATTTTGAGCACAAGTCCAACCCCTGATAGATCGTGGGCTGTTGCAATTAATTCTAAGCAATTTTCATGCTTTTATTCCTATTTAATCAGGAAATCATAGTCATTCGGAAGTATTTATGATAAAACTTTAGTTTTTGATTTCAATTGTCGTTTCGTTTATTAAATGTAAGAAAAGAAATTATTTATCCAGTCATCTGAACATTTTAAAGGGGAAAGAGAAACAAAAGAAGAACTAAAATAATATTCATCTTCAATATCAACCTTCAAAGGGTTGCCATCTATTTGCGTCAGTTTATTTATTTAAATTTTTCTTTTTTTTCTTTTTTGTTTGCTGTTTTTACCACCAGAAGCACCAGAATGAAAAATTTAATAAATTATTCAAAAAAGCAATCTTTCAAATATAGGAGCAAAGGGTCGTCAGTAAAAAAAGCAATTACAAATGAAACGAAAAATAACCACATTGCAGTCTTGTATTTTCCGTAAAAGTTTCCAAAACCTATTAGATTCAGATTAAAGGTTAAATAACGATTTGCTTCCAAATCGAAGCTTGCAAAATTTAAGGGCACTTTTCTCAAAACAATCGTTTTTTCCTCACGATGCGTATTAGATTTTCATCAAAGACTATATGATTGTGGTTTTTTGATTTATGTGAAAAGTCTAGGATTGGCTCGTTTCATTTTCATTTTGTTTCTTAAAATTGCACATAAAACTGTCTTATGTTCTTTGTGACCTGTGCTTGTTTCCCACGCAAAATCAATTATTTATTGAAAATAAATTTTTAAAAAATTGCTGCAAAACTTTCTAAAGCAAATAAAGAAAAGTTAAAAAAACTTAAAATTTAATTATCTTCTCCGTTCCGTTTCAATCTACTGTGGACCAGGTAATACCATTAAATTCATTATCTACGCAAACTCTATATATTTCTCACCCTCTCGATTTTCTTTTTTTTAAGCCAAATTTTAGTTTATTGAATAAATCATATCATTGAGAAATACAAAGAGATATTGAAGGAAAATTGAAAAGAATTGAAAAGTTATTCATGGGTTGGTTGGAATTGGGCTGAATTTTTACTTCCTCAACTCTTTTTCTCAAAGCTGGTCAGACCAGTCGTAAGCCCCTCACTGGCCTTTTTCTATGCGTTAATATTACAGAAAACTACAACAACACAGCAAAACTACTTAGTGGAAGATTGATGAAAGAAAGAAGGCTCGGCAGATTTGGTGGCAGCAGTAATACCCAGATCAGTGTAAAGCTTCTTCATTATTATCCTTATAGAAATTGTCGTTAAGGCTCGAATGATTTTGAGCTACCTATCGTCCTCCCACTCTATCGCCTATCCCCCCTTTCCTGGCATAAATACACAGAACTCTAAAGTATTTCTCCTTGAGACTATGCTGTAAAGCGATTCAAATGGACAACATTTACTAGAGTGCAACTCTAGTTTCAGGTATTTCTGCGACCGAATATATCGGACGATAAGTGTTAAGCAGGCTGAAATTTTAACTCATCTTCATATGCAGCATACGAGCATAATACTACTATCGCAGAACTTAAGCTTTCTTCGGAACATTCGCATGAAGTTTATTCCCTAATTATATTTTTGTTTGTAGCAAATTATATAATTGCCAGTAGTACACATATTATTCGGACCCCCGTTCCGAACGCACTCGTCAAGTCTTATTACATTCAGAATGCAGAATGCAGAATGTTCCTGTAAAGGGCAACTCAATGGCGACTACTCGTTCAAGGTCAGTGCACGCAATTCTATTACTTATGGAACTTGTAAATTTTGCATTTTCCGGATCATCAACTAACTACTCCCGCATATTGTTGTAGTTTTCCTTTTTAGAATTTTAACTTGTGGTTAATTGTGGATGATTAGGAGTACTTTCAAACGTAGTCTTTTCCCCTGATTTAGAATTTTGTTCCAAATTTCGGCAATCATTTTCTCTTGTTTTTTTTTTTATATGCTTGAAATTTAATAAAACACTGTACATTTTTTCTATACTTATTTTAAAATACGTTCGAATTCGAAAATGTTTTGATGCAGTACACAACTAGTCATGCAACAGTTCATTGAAGAGGAACTTGACATAGATCTGCATTTCATCTAAGCTTATCTGTCCATTTGTTTGTCTTCTATTCTTGCATTCAACTTATAGATCGCAATTAAGTTAATATATTTTAATGTAATTTATTACATCCACGTATTTTGAACCAAGAGCGAACTTCATTGAAAATGTTTCGGATTCGATCCCCTTTGTCAATCACCTACCATCTGTATAAGACCTTAGTCCTTAGATCACTAACCGAATTGCTGGAGGGCGTTTAGTGTTGAATCGTGGACCAGTACAATGTTTTCCCTTTTTTTTTGTACATATTAAAAAAAAAAAAATTCAATTTATATACATCTGTATACTTCTAAATCGGACTTTCTTTGATACACTTGTGGAGAGTTGTTTTCAAATATATTCCCTAATAAGCGTGACTAAGCAGTTAATGAATTGTATAGAAATTCCCAATAAATAATTTAATCTTCCCAATGGAATAAATCCATTCAGAGAATCATACTTAATCTAAAATGAGGAGCACTCAACTAAGAAAATGTTACTTATTATGTATAATTCGTATTTAGAAGAAGGAATGAAACTATATTGTAAGCAGCTAAACGCTATAGTCTCTTCTCTTTTTAAACGTTAACCTGTCATAAAAGAAGGAAAAGCAAATATTATCCCATAATTATATTATTCTTACAGATTTATAAAAAATAGAAAAGTTTTAATTTTTTCCTTTTTTTTTTTTCTTTTTGTTTTGGTTTTTGTTTTCTTTACAAAGTTTGTTAAAGAAGTGAAAAAGTTATTTAATGAAATTCTTATCCTTTGCCAGCTAGTTGCTGTTAAGAACATTTTCCGCCTTAAATGTGTTTTTGTGTTTTTAATTTAAATTAAAATAAATTCGTTTATAATTTGTTTTTCATCATTTCTTTTCAATTATGTAATTTATAGCATATTAATATCGAATGAATGAAAGAGAAAATTTAATTAAATATTATACAGGAATGGAATTAACCGGCAATGTGCTGCTGTTTTACGTGTCTAGGCATACCAACGTATGTATATCTATACATAGTACAGTACCCTTGATTTTGTGTTCGACGCTAATAAAATTTTAATTGATATTAAATAGTCGAAAACCTCCCTAAAAAAAAAATATATATATAAAATAAATAAATAAATAAATAAATAAAAAAAAGGATCGTAGTATAATTTAATGAAACCTATTGAATTCAGTTAAATTGAATTGCTTGCTTTTGATTGAATGGATTGTTAAACCAATAAAAAAAAAAAAAAAAAAAAAAAACGTAATATATATCAAAGGAAAGACAAACATTTAATGCCTTCCACGAGAGTGTATGTATGTGCGTGTATTATGGGTTCCTAGTAATTTAAATTCATTCCTTTATGCTATCCGAAAAGTGCACGCATTTAGTAATACATAAAAAAAAAAAAAAAAAAAAAATTAAAAAAAAAAAAAAAAAGTTACTTTTTTTTTTTTTTATTAATAACGTAATATCGGCAACAGTAAGTTGATTGTTGCTAGTAAATTATTTAAGAATATTTAATGTGATGAGTTTAATGTATGGTAATGCGTTCATAATATGACATTAACGCGCGTTAATGAGGCATTGAATGTGTGGCATTGTAAGGCTTGGCAAAAAACCAACGAAATTTTTTGTATGTA